ATACAAGGTTCCCAGGTTTCCCCTGGCAGGGTTTCTGCTGATTTGTTGTGCTTGTGTCTCACAAGAAGCGTAGAGCACAAGCTATCCATAAGTGGACGTTGCTCCCCGTGTCGCCCTTGGTCCGGAATCAAGTCCAACTGTTTTGCAGCGGATGGTCTGACACGTTGGGCCGGTGGATCCAGTGGTCGTAAGCTTGCGTAATGGTTCCAACATTATCTTGGCGTCACACTTCTCCACTGACATTTAGAATCTTGAGCTGCACCACGAATGGGTTCACAGCTTGGGTTTTGGAGTGTTCAAGGCACCCTCTCGAAATCGCTCGCCCTGTAGATAATTCATTCGGATCGCATGCTTGTCTTGACAACTTCCATGCACTCTTTATACAGTACCAGGGTTGTATTCGAGCTTCCGCAAGTAACCCTGATAAACCTCTGGAACCACCAACCGCTAGAGCACACTTGCACGTGTCTTGCAAGTGTTGCAGAGGCTCTGCAGAGCAGAGCACCCTATCTCCAGGCGCTACAAGCTGAAGTATGACCCCGTGGAGCTAGATCCGGAGGCCGCAACTCCTGTCATACCGCAGCAGCAGGTTATAAGTTAAAGACTCCAGGAGGAATTGTGCTTCGTTCATCGGGAAAATTGAAAGGAAGGCTGTGGCTTGGCCTCTTGGGCCTCCACACAGACCAAGCCTCGACAGTGGCTGCCAAGCTGCCAGCCGGTGGTCGATGTCAGTGGCTGGGAGTGTGTGAGAGATTGTGAGAGTGTGACTGCATGTGTGAAAGGGACACATCAAAGACGGGCAAAACTTCTTCCCTGTTGGCAAGCGTATTGCCAAAGAGTGGTTCTCATGCTGAAGTTGGATGCAGCCGAGTTCCCACTTCCGCAGAGGATGGCCTTCACAAGCTGAGAGGCGTAACACGGAAACACTCCGCTGCGACTCGTTCGATCATCTGTTCCAACTTCAGACGTCAGTTCCATTGCTTTACAACGCACTTTGCGGCATGCTTTTCCAAGCGTGGGTGCAGCCTTTGCACAGCACCCCTTTGCATACAGGACATGACACCCTTTGCGCGGGAGCGGCCGCAGGAGTTGGCAGCGTGAGCTTTGCTTGGGCACGAGCTGTTTGTCAAGTGCCTGTAATTGGGAACCCCAAAGCCCAGCCCACAACGACGGAGCTGGTCAGAGCCGAACATGACAGCTTGGGCTTGGACATGGTGCTGGTTTAAAGGGTTCGAGTCCGAGGTTCCTAGAAGGCAGGCAATGACAGCCTCCAGTCTCAGATCGTGCAGATTCAATGTCTATGGAACAGGAAATCGGTGAACCACACGGGCTCTTGGCCAGGTACTCGGTCTCCGATGCCGTTGCCACCTACTACCTCTACATGAAGGCTCGCGGGTCGCGACGGGGAATCGGGCGCTTCCTCTTGTTGAATGATCCTGCCTTTCCAGCTTTGGCCGACCGTTGACTTCATTGGTCTATCTGGAGTCTAGATGCTGCCATGTAGGATCCTGAGGAAGCTGTTCTGTCAGGACGGTAGGCTGAGCTTCTGAAGCCCGACAGTCTCGACGGGTTTCGACCGCTGTCACACACTGAGCCCCGAACTTCCCCGAACTTTGTGTCTCAAGGCCCACTCCAGCACTGTTGGTGCACTTGGGGATCAAGTCGCCTGGACAAGCTGCTAGTGTCTGAGGGATTCTGAATACACGTCATTCTCTGTCCCTGCTCGCGCATTTGTCTACAACACGAATGCAACTATTCGTCTTGGTGCACGCTCAAGAACATATCAAAGCAGCTCCAAACATTTATCAATAGCGAACCTGCCAGTATAGCCCTGCCACACACTCTTGCTTCGTCACAAACTACCAAGGCAATTTGTAAGGGTCGGAACGCAGGGGTATCACCCAAAATTGTTGACTCGTGCCGCAGTACATCCACGACTTTATCTTTGCGCTGTGCTCCATCATCCCGTACGGCTTGGTGCTGAGGGATATTTTAGGCTTTGTCTTGATCGACCTCAGCGTTTCGGTTGTGCTGGCTAGCTCGCTTTTGCGGTGCAACATCCAGGCAGCGTTGAAGTTTCGGTGCAAGTCTGATCTAACGGTGGCTGTTTCAGAATGGGGCCGACAAGTCAACAAGAAGTCCGAGGCATGAAATCCCACGAGCTTCAAACATTCTAATGCTTCTCGCCTTGATGCACCAGATCTCCAAGTTCAAGCTTTCCTAGAGGGGATTGACTAGCAGCGAATCCAGAGACATCCAGCCCTGCACGAGCGGATTCAGTCTTATGTAGATTCACGCAATCTCATGCGCTGTATCTATTCCGAGCGTACTTTGCCGGCCCATTCAACTAAATTTTCAATTTATACTAGAAGCAGTTGGCAAGCCAACAAGAACACGGAAACCCTTGTATGTTTCGACTGTTGCGAGTCCATGAATAAGGGGCTCATGGCATGAGAAAGCAACAAAGGGCATAACACCTCTCGAGGCCCGGATGAAGTGCTTCGTAAGGCCGTCCTCTGCTGTGCTTGTCAGCGTTAACGGAGGCAACTTTGACGCAACACAAGCCTGCGTTGCTACTCCAGAACGAGTACTCATACTCTCGACCATGAGACAATCACAAGTGAATTGTCATTCTAAAACACGGCTAGCAACTTGTTTGCTGATCTGTAGCCGGTCCACTCTCAACGGTTCACCATCGCATGCGGCATTTGAGAAGATCTGGCAGCAATAACAACAACCGTATTCGACAGCATCAGGGAAAAGTAGCACAGCCAGAATGATGAGGTTATAAAGTGGCGTTGCCGGTAGTCCGTTTTCTGACAGGCGACCCTGCTATTTCTGTCTTCATGCCTAGGGCTGAGAGTACTTAGCATAACGACGGCGATCAGAAGAACTGCTTTGCAGCAGTCGTCGTATGCCTGTTCCGTACGTTAGCCCCAGTATAGCCAGTATACCGAGCCATAGCATGGCAGCAGCCGTTGTGTTTTTAAGTAACTACTGCCCTATGGAAACACGAGACATCACAATAACAAATGGCAGGCAAGAGTTTCGTTAGCAGAGTAGCAACATCAGCAGAATCACCACCAGCAACAACAGTAGCAACACAACCACAAAATCAATTGAACAAACAAACAAACAAACACAAAACTAACAAGCACAAACAAACGAGCAAACGAGCAACCAACCGACCAACCAACCAATCAACCAACCAACCAACCAACCAACCAACCAACCAACCAAAACCTAACTCCCTCATCCCCCGG